GAAGATGAGGCTGCTGATGATGATGACGACGGCGATGCTGGCGATGATGATGATGATGAGGATGCTGATGCTGATGATGATGATGCTGCTGATGCTGATGATGATGCTGATCATGATGATGCTGATTGGTGAACGTGATGATGCGGAGGATGATGAGGAGGTGGAGCAGGAGGAGAAGGAGGAGTAGGAGAGGAGAAGGAGGAGGAGGAGGAGGAGGATTGCGACCGTCGCGTTGACGCTATCGATGAGACGATGATTATGATGCTGGTGTTGAGGATTATGCTGATGATGCTGCTGATGATGATGAGCGGAGGATTATGGTGCTGCTGTTGATACTGATGATGGTGCTGATGAGGCTGATAGTGATGATGATGCTGATGCTGATTATCATGCTGATGCTGATGATGATGGTGATAATGATCATGCTAATGGAGATGATGATGAGGAGGAGGATGAGGAGGTGGAGCAGGGGGAGTCGGAGGAAGAGTAGGAGAGGAAAAGGAGGGGGAGGAGGATTATGACCGTCGCGTTGACAATGACGACGAGACGTCGATGATGATTATGATGCTGGCTTTGAGGAGCTGATGACGATGCTGCTGATGATGATGGTGAGCTGGGGATTATGTTGATGTTGTTGATGATGGTGATGATGCTGATGAGGCTGATCATGATAATGATGCTGATGCTGATGCTGATGCTGATGAAGCTGATGCTGATGATGCTGATGCTGATGATACTGATAATGCTGCTGATGAGGAGGAGGTGGAGCAGGAGGAGTTGGAGGAGGAGGAGGAGGAGTAGAAGAGGAGGAGGAGGAGGGGGAGGAGGATAGTGACTGTCGCGTTGACGATGACGCTGAGACGTCGATGATGATTATGATGCTGGTGCTGAGGATTGTGCTTATGATGATGATGATGATGATGATGATGATGATGATGATGATGATGATGATGATGATGATGATGCTGATGATGATGATGCGTATTATGATGATCAGCTGAGGATTATGTGGGTGTTGTTGATGATGGTGGTGATGCTAATGATGATGCTGATGCTGATTCTGATGCTGATGCTGATGATGATGATGCTGATGCTGATGCTGATGATGATGCTGATGATGCTGAAGATGCTGATGGTGCTGATGATGATGGTTGTGGTATTGCTGATGAGAGGACGAGGAAGAGGATGAGGAGAATGAGGACGAGGAGGAGGCGGAGGCGGAGGCGGAGGCGGAGGCGGAGGAGGAGGCGGAGGAGGAGGAAGACGCCCACCCGCGCGGGACAGCCGGCCCCCACCGCGAGACCCCTCCCCGTGAACCATTCAGACCAGAGGCCGCTCCAGCGCTCGATGCTCTCTTGGCCAGCCGTTCACGCAGGCGGGACCAACGTCGATGCGGCCAGTCTGGGCGAGAGCTGTCCACATGTCCTCCGCGCCTTCGTTCCTCGCGCGGGCGGGAGCGCCCCAGCCCTCCGAATGCTACGCGTATGTTCCACACCCGCGGTGCAACGACTCGCTGTTTCGGGTCCACGCTTGCCAGCACTTTTTGATGCAGCTGGTCTCTTCGATTTGGGATCTGTTGCAAGGCCATGGGGCTCTCGGCCGCAGCGCGCTGCACTCCGGGGGACCCCTGGGGCTGCTGCTTGCCGAGCCATCGAGGGCGTACAGTGGAAGCCCATGCCAAGAGACGCCCTGTTTGCCTCCAGGGTGTCCTGGGTTTCTTAGGTTTCGATGGCTTTGCTATGGGAAGCGTGACGTTTCCACACCAAGAACCAATGAACGTCCTGGGGTCTCAGAGTTGGACTTCTTGTGGAAGGTTTCTTGTGGTCGAGTTCCTACCGTAGACGCGTCTCAGCGTACCACGCTCTCCCGGAAGGGGTGGCCAGCACTTCGAGGCGCATTCGAGCCCCAGACATGCGACGTCCTGATTTTTCAGGACGGGGTCCCTGGAAGTCTGGACCCGTTCCCTGGGACCTGTTTTCCATCCCGAGTCTTTTTATTGACGCTCCCGAGGCCTGGCGAGGGCCCTCCGAGGCCCCCCGAAAACGACGCGATCATGCCTGGGGCCGTGGCGACGAGGGCCCACCCGGGAGGCAGGAGGAGCCCGAGAGGAGCGCCCGGGTGCGCCCGCCGCCCCGGCGAGGCCATGGAGCTCGCGGCGCCCGAGCTGAACTCCAGGCTCGGGCGCTGAGACTCCTCCTCCTCCTCCTCCTCCTCCCTCCTTTTTCCTCCTCCATCCTCCTCCCTCCTCCTCCTCCTCCTCCTCCTCCTCCTCCTCCTCCTCCTCCTCCTCCTCCTCCTCCTCCTCCTCCTCCTCCTTCTCTCTCCTCCTCCTCCTCCTCCTCCCTCCTCCTCCTCCTCTCCTCCCTCCTCCTCCCTCCTCCTCCTCCTCCTCCTCCTCCTCCTGCTCCTCCTCCTCCTGCTCCTCCTCCTCCTCGTCCTCCTCGGGGTCCGAGCATATGGGCTCGGAGGTTCGCGCCGCTTCGCCGATGCATCGGCAATGCGGCTCGATGTGGGGTCCGATCTTCTCCGCGCTGGTGTCTCGGATGTATCGCCGACGCTGCCGGTGCATCGCCAGTGCATCGCCGAAGCATCGGCGATGCGGCGCGATCCTTCGACCCCGTCCACTCCTAACCCATCCAGGAGGCCTCTAGCGACTGTGCAAGCACAGCACGCCGGCCCCAGTCGGGCCCGTTCTGGGCCCAGGAGCCGTGCACGTGGCTCCCGTGGCCTGGCCGGGCAGCCACTGCGCACAGCTCCGAGGGGCCCAGGGTGGGGCCCCGGCCAGAGGATCCCCGGACAGCCGACGCTGGGCTTCTTTCCAGCCGCAGCCCAAGAGTTCAGTCGGGCATGTCCCTCTACAGAAGGAATAAACAAAAGTAGTTCAAAATCGTCAGAGGACGCTTTTACATTTCCACGTATATTATTCCATGACTATACAATTTTTTACTTTTCTTCCAAACTCCGCCTGCAGAAGGACAGCCCGCCCTAACCCAAGAGCTCCCGACCCCTTCCCCAGTGCCAGCTTTTCGCCCCGCGCTCTTTTTTGAGGGCCAGACAGCAGGTCCCAGAAGCCGACACCCGAGGAGAGGCGTCCGGATTGAAAGAGCTTTCTCGTCGGAGATCTGGGTGCATTTTGGCCTCCCAGATGGGGTCAGAGTAGGTCAGAGGATCGCGCCGCATTGCCGATGCATCGGCGATGCGGCTCGATGTGGAGCTCGATCTTCCTCACGCAGACGTCGCCGATGCATCGGCGATGCACCGGCGATGTAGCGCGATCCTCCGACCCCATCGACTCGGACCCAGTTTGGGAGTCCTCTAGTCAGAGCCCCGAATCATCTGGGGTAACTCGGGTCAGGGCCAACTCGGGTTCGTTTCTCGGGAATCCGAACCCGAGTTGCCCCGGGCCCGAGTTACTGACCCCGATGATTCGGGCGCCCAGAGCCCCGAATCATCTGGGGTAACTCGGGTCAGGGCTAACTTGGGCTCGTTTCTGGGGAATCCGAACCCGAATTGCCCCCGGCCCGAGTTACCCCGGATAATTCGGGCGCCCAATCAGTAGGAAATAGGGGAGAAATGCTTCGGGACAGGGAGTGGAAGCAAGAGAAGGATGATGATGATGATGATGATGATGATGATGATGATGATGATGATGATGATGATGATGATGATGATGATGATGATGATGATGATGATGATGATGATGATGATGATGATGATGATGATGATGATGATGATGATGATGATGATGATGATGATGATGATGATGATGATGATGGATGATGAGGAGGAGGAGGAGGAGGAGGAGGAGGAGGAGGAGGAGGAGGATCAGGAGAAGGAGGAGGAGGAGAAGGAAGAGGAGAGGCCGAGATGGTGCACAGCTCTCGTCCTCCAGGTCGCGCCAGGGCTGCCGCCTCTTCGGGCGCCGGCTGGGGCTGGCGCGGCCCCAGCCCGAAGTGAAGGTGGCCGCGGCCGGCTTCTGCGCGGCCCTTGCGGGGGGCGGTGGCAGGCCCCGCGGGCGTGGCTCGTCGCCGTCGCCAGCGGCGGCGGCGTCGTCGTCGTGGTGGTGGTCGTCGTCGTCGTCGCCTCCGTGGTCGTCGTCGTCGTCGCCTCCGTGGGCGTCGTCGTCGCCTCCGTCGTCGTCGCCGTCGTCGTCGCCTCCGTGGGCGTCGTCGTCGTCGCCGTGGCCGCAGTGGCCGTCGTCGCTGACGCTGTCGCTGCCGACGTCGCCACTGTCCTTCACATGGTCGCTGTCCTTGTGTTCGTCATGGGGTATTGTTCAACGTCTTGAGTGCATTCGCCACCATGTTTATCAGTAACAACAAGAGATGCGTCAAGACCCTCCGAGGCTGATCTACAGAATTGTGCCACTTATCTATCCGCGCTTATGACAATCCTACTTCGGAGTCGCGCGCCGCACCCGCAGCTGACGCCGAGCCCCCTCCCCCAGTCGGACGCATCGTCACGCACGAGCCCAGTCACGCTATATCCGACCGATCGTGACCCATTGCCACAACGCCCCGCCGCAACAATCGTGGCCTTTCGGCGCGCCGAAAAGAAGAGCAGCCACACCACCGCCCCACCTGTCCAGCCGCGAGCGCCCGAAGTACTACCGTGTGCTGACGCCGCACCAGCCCGCCACACAAATGCAGCAGCAAGACGTCCACGACGACTGTGACGACCTGCCGCCACAGAATCTTGATGCCCCCCACGGGGAAAACCAAGCCAGCGAAACTGGCCTCAGCATGCCGCGGCACGCTGGTGGCTTGTTTGACGGCACAAGCCTAAGCCGGGTGGAATTTCTGCCTCAACCTGCTGGCCGGTTGAAATTGCTCAGCCCTTCAGCTGCCTCCTCCTCCTCCACCTCCTCCAAATCCCCGCCGCCTCGCCCTCCTCCTCTTCCTCCTCCTCCCCACGCGCCCATGTTGACCGCCTCGCCCTCCTCCTCCTCCTCCTCTTCCTCCTCCTCCTCTCACTGCCGCTGCCTCAACCTCTCTGCCTGTTTAGGCATTTTCCTCCATCCTCATCATCTGCCACGTTCCGCCAAGGCTGGGCCTGCCTCCGCGGTAGCGGTCCTCGACGAGGCTCTGGCGCACGCCAGCCATGTACTCGAGCTGCTCCCACCATGCCCGGCGGGCGTCTGCGCCCTGGAGCGCCTCCCCTGGCCATCCCATCCGTCTGGCCAGCGCGCTCCGCGGCGTGGCAATACCTCTCCTCCTGCCGGCCCACCTGTCGCAGCGCCACCAATGGTGGACCACGTCTGGCACCTCGCCGCTCGGGCAATCGCTGCACGGGCGCGGCTCTCTGCCCATCGCCACATCCAGCCTGGCATCGCTCCACATGGCCCCGGTGAGCACGGCCAGCGCATGGCTGCCAAGCGCGCCTGACTGCAGCACTTCCGTCGCGACGTGGAAGGCTCTTTCATCGAAGGCGACGCCTTCCTCCACAGCTAATCTGCTGTCACGTCTCGTCGCCCCTTGGGCCTTGAAGGCGTCCCAACGCTCCTGCCGCCAGGCCTCGCGGAGCACGTGCGCCGCTCTGCCCCTGCGGTCGTCGATGCGCAAGTGCCTCTCGCCATGCTTCCAATCGCCCGTGTGGGTGTCCCTGTGGAAGCCCATTGCCTCTAGGTGTCGCTGCAGGCAGCGCGTCGGGCCGCAACTGTCCGTCACCTCCACCAGCCTCTGCCATGCCAGCTCCTCCTCCGTGCCCTGCCTCCTCCTCCTGGCCTGGTGGAAGGCCCAACATCTGTCCGCCAGGTGGTACCGCAGGTCGCCGCAGTGGCCCACCGCTAGGAGATGCAGGAGCTCCACCGACGCAGAGGGCCACCTCCTGCCGCACACTGCTCTCCTCACCTCCCGTCGCACCTCCATCAGTTGCGCCTCCTGCGGCAGGGCTGTGACGAGCCCCCACGCCATCAGGGGCATGGCTGCCGTCGCCACCGCGCGCCTCCTTGCCCGCCAGCCCAGCGGTAGCTTGGCAATCCTCTGCAGCCTCTCAATGCCTGCCTTGAGTTTCCCCATCTCCCTGGGCGTTAGCTCCCTTTCGTCGAAGGAGAAGTCGACACCGAGAACCTTGAAGCTGCTTCTGGCGCCTCCCCCTGCCCCTGTTCCCCCTCGTCCTCCTCCTCTACCTCCTCTGCCTCGCCGCCCAGCTCTTCCTCGCGAAGCGCCGGTACGCCCTCGGCTTCCACCTCTGTCGGCGCCGCGGTCCTCGCCGGCGTCGCGCACGTCCGCGGAGACGACGAACCGCTGGGTCTTGCCCGGGTGCGTCCGCAGCGCCGTAAGCTGCTCCAGCTCCCCCCAGTGCCGTTCCACTTCCTGCATGTCCTCCAGGCTCCTCGTGCAGGCCGTGCGGTCGTCGGCGTACACGCAGCACGTGGCCGTCGCCACCCTCCGTTTCATGCGGCGCGTCGGCGGCATGAGCACGGTGGCCATGCCAAGCATGCTGGCAGGGTCTCCTTGCGGCAACGACCGTGAAACCGCGATGGGCTCACTAGCGACAAGGCCGGCACTCTCAATCCACCGCTCCTGGTTGCACCATATGTCCACGATGCCATCCACGATGCCATGGGGCACACCACACTCTTTCCAGATGCGTCCTACAATCACTGGATCCGTCCTGTCGAAGGCGCTCTCGAAGTCCCAGGAGGAGCCGTAGAGGGCGCCCTTCTTGCTGTCCACTCTCTGCTTGTCGTCTTCGCTCAGGAGGTCGTACGCAGGGGTGCCCGCGATCCTGTTGGCGACCATCGTTTGTTCGACCTCCGTCAGCGTGCCCTCCAGGAGCCCCTCGAGCGTTCTCTGGCGCAGGCCGCCAGCTTGGTCCGCCTCGAAAGCCGGCTCCAGGAACTCTGCGATCTGCTCTGCTCGGTGTTTGTGCCACATTCTTACCACCGTGCTGGCGATGGCGATGGGCCTCATGCGGTCCACTTTCGGGATGCTGTCGCTCTCCTTCGGGATGTGGGTCTGCCTCCACCTCTTGAGGCTCGGGGGCCAGCCTCCCGCCTCGAAGCCAAGGCACAGATCCACCAGGTCATCGTAAGCAAGGTCTGGCAGGAGGAGCAGCTCGCTCGCTAACCACTGGTCTTGGCCAGCCGCGGTGCCTGCCATCGTCCTCAAAAGCCGCCGCACGCTGCCTGCTGATGGGGCTCCCCAGCGCAAATCACTGTGGCCGAGCATGGCGTAGATGTGCTGACGATGACGATCCTCCTGCGCCACCGCCTGCTGGATTTTCTCCTTCGCCTCCTCCACCTCCTCTGCGTAGTGCAGCATGTACTCCTCGGGCTGGTTCCCAGACCCTGCGCCACTGAAATGGCCGTGATAAAAACTACGGAGCTTCTCCACCGCTGCTTGCCCCGAATACTGTCTCTGCTCGGTCGCGTCGTACACGGCGGCTCCACAGCTCTGCGCTGGATTCCTGATCCATTTGTACGTCCGCTTCCGCATGTTGTCCTCACGTATACTCTCGCGCCACACTTTGATCCTTTCGTCCCTGCTGACCTCCACTGCTTCCCGCAGTTTCCTGTGCAGGTCCTGTGCGTCATCTGGCCCAACGGCCCATGGCAGCCCAAGTTTCCGCCGAAGGTACGCCCTCTTTCGCGACAGCGCCTGGGTCGCTCCGTCACGCACCCGCGGCCCCCTGCGCTCCTGCACGGCTTCCGACACGGCGATGAGTTCCCTCAGCTGCCTCTCGCGCCGCGCCTGCACGGAGCCCGCCTCTTGGCTCTCCGGGCGCTGCCAGTGCACCAGGTGTCGGTCTCCCTTGTAGCCCGTTCCTTCAGTAAGGACTTTGTGCTCACCTCGCAGAAAAGCTTCTGCTCCTCGGGACCACTTCCTCCAGAGGTCCTCGGCGGTGCCTGCGTCCTCCTCCTCCTCCTCCTACTCCTCCTCCTCGCGGCTGTGGCACGTCCGCCAGCGCCGGGCTGCCTCACGCGCCTCCTCCTCCTCCTTTTCCTCCTCTTCCTCGTGCTCAGCCCCACGTTCTCCTTCAGCAGCGGCATCGCCCTCCTCGGCCACGGGGCCTTGACTACGAGGTGGCCGGGCGCTCGCGAGCCAGCCGTCGTCTTCATCGTCCATGTTGGCGCGTGGTCTGGTACTGACGCCATATCTCGCCGCGCGCCGCCAAGCCCAACCCTCAGTCTCCTCCTCGGCCCACACCTTGAGCCCCATCGTGACCAACCTGTGGTCCGCAATCCGGTCGCGGTGCGCCACTGCCTCGCCGACAACCACGCCCTGGACCAGGAAGTAGTCATTCCTGGCATCGCTGCTTCCTGCCATCGTGGACGACTGCGGCACTGCAGGCTGCCACTGGCCATCCCCAGTCAAAACGCCGAGGATGCCCTCCGAGGCCTCCACATTCCAGTCGCCGCCGAGCACAGCTGCACCTCCGAGCCCGGCGAGGCACTCCCGCAGACCCAGGAGCAATCCTCGGCGCGCCTGGACCGGGCTGTTACGCCGGAGATGCACGACCCCCACGTGCAGCATCTGCCTGCCACTGCGCACACGAAAGACCGCAACCTCTCCTCCTATCTCCCTCTTCTGCCACAGCCGTTCAGCTCTCCATGTGCCCCTCGTGGCGCACGCGAGGCCGCCGTAATTGTGCCAATCACGGCCATTCTTGCCCTGAGTCTCGTCTAGCACCGTGCCCTCTACGAGGTGCCAGCCCCTCCTTGCAGCCAGCCGCTGCGCCGTGCGCATTCCTTGCCTCGTGAGTTTGTGCTCCTGGACAAACAAGACGTCGGCACCGTGCGCGCCGGCTGCCTGGAAAGCCGCCAGGCCATGCTTAGACCAGCTGGCGACATTGATAGTCCCCAGAAGGACCCCCAGCGTTTCCAGCTCCTCGCTGCGCCCCAGCTGTCCTGCCGTCTCCTGCTGCCCCTCTGCCTCCTCGCCAATTGGCCTCGTGCCTGTCTCCAGCACCTCCTCTGCTGCAAATCGCCTCCTGCTTGTCTCAGGCTCCTCCTCCTCCTCGACCTGCTCCTCTCTTTTCCGCCTCCTGTCTGCGTTTCGCCCCTCCTCCTCCTCCTCCTCCTCGGCCTCCTCTGCTGTCCGTCCTCGGCTCAAGCCTGCGCCCGTCTCCGCCTCAGCAGCGGCCTGGTCCAGTCGTCCGGGCCTTGTCCTTGTGTTTCTGCCTCTTCCTCACGGTTTTCCTCATGACCGTCTCAGGGCGGTCCACCTTGTGCAAACCACAGCGCGCCGCCAGCCACGTCGAGTACTCCGGGCCTCGGCGGTCAGCAACATCTTGCCCAGGGCCCCACACAGCCTTCACCATGGCGCGGCACTTGACCTTGTTGCGTTCCTTCTCCGCCGCCGTGAAGCTCCCAGCGTCCGCTCTGGCTGTGAGCGCTTCGGCGGCCTCGTCAATCTTCCTCCACGCCGCGGTAGTCGGCTGCTGCTCGGCATGCTCAGCCCAGCTCCGTCGCACCAGCGCGCGGTCAACTGCATCAAGGCTTGCCCACCATCGCAACCGGGTCGGTTGCATCCACCTGGGCTTGTCGTTTGCCAGGTCACTCCATGCATGGCAGGGGCCAGCCACGTTGGCGGTCGCATCGCCCCACCAGGCTCCATGGCACTTGCCACAAGTCAGCAGGCGCCGCGTCCAGCCAGTGTGGTTCCTGGCGTTTTCTGTGACCACGTCTCGGATGTTGTGGCCTTTGTGGTCGCGCGTGTCTCCCTCCTCCTCGCGTTTCCTCCTCGCTTCTTCCCGCCGTTTCGCGTGCCGCTTCTTGGCCGCATTGCTTCTCATTTCATGAAACTCCTGCTGCGTCAGCGGCACCTTGCGTCGCACCCTCGGCGGCAGCCTAGCGGGTTTCTTCAGGGAGCCCGCCATCGACCAATCTTCCCCTTGATGCCATCGCTGGAGGTGCCGGCGGCGCTGCAAGACTATCTCTGCGAAGCGAACACTCTTCTTTATCCCCAAATAGCGGGAGGCACCTTTGGGCGCGGTGACTGTTTCATCACACAGCTTGCACACCCAGGTGTCCATCTCTGGGGTTGCGCCTGCAACACCGCACGCTGCCCCTCTCCTCCCTGCGGAATGCGGCCGCGGCAGCCAAGAGTCCACGGTGCCGACGCTCCTGGCGCTGGCGGGGGTGGCACGCTTCACCGTGCTGCTGGGGCCTGGCATCCAAGAGTCCATACTTCCTCTACTCCTCGTGCTCCACGCACTGGCTGGCTCAGCACCTCCGCAAGCCCTCCCCGCTGCATCCGAAAACTCCTCGCACCTCCTCCTCCTCTTGCTCCTCTGCGGTGTCACGACAACCGACCTCTGCGGTGTCGCGACGACCGGCGGCAGCCAGTCGTCCAGCTCCTCGTCGGCAGCGTCCTGTCCCTCGACCTCTGCCCTGCCAGTACCTCTCCTTCCTCGCCCTCCTCTGCCTCCTCCTCCTCCTCCTCCTCCTCCTCCTCCTCGAGGCATTTTCCATGCTGACTCGAGGAGCTTATCCGTGGTGATGCGCTTGTTTATCGTCACCCTGTGTTCAGGCGGCGACGTTTTAGGCAGTGCGATATAAAAATGCGACTTCCAATATGCAATCACGATCGCCTCCGCCTTGTCCGCCTCCCGTTGCGCCTCCTTTTCTCTTGGGTAGATGTGCGCAATCTTCTGGTACTTCATGCCGTCGTCGCCGTCAGGCGCCCCGTTGAGGATCAGCAGGTTCCTCTTGAGGTGGTCAACGGCAGCCTGGAGACCGATCGCATCAATCCAGCGTTTGGGCCGGGTGCATGCTATTACGTACTCCTCCCAAGTAGTCGGCAGAGCCCCGTCTTCCGTGACGCTGTTGTCGAAGCGGTTTGCCGCGAAGTACGGTTCGTAGTCAGCGCGGCGTTTCCGGAGGACCTCACCGATGTGGATCCTCAGCGTCCTGCCCAAGGCAGCGGATTTCCTGTCCTCTGTAACCTCCTCCTTCGTGGCACTCCTCCGGCCTCCTGTGAGCGCCCAGCCCCCGCTGATGGCCCTGTAGCCACAATCACCTCCGTTCGTGCCTGGGTCCAGGATCTCCCACTTCTCGTTGCTCATCCTCCTCCCGGTGCCTTCCTTGCCCTTCCCATCCTTTCCTTTGGTCTGGCCCTTGCCTTTGGCCACGGCGGCCGCCTGCACGGGCGCAGCCGCAGCACCTCTAGGCCCGCTTCCTCCCTGCGCTCCGTCTCCGAGTGAAGCCACTCGAGCTGCGATCCTTTCCCTCATGGCCTTATCCTCCTCGGCCCGGCCCTTGGCTCTCTTAGCTTTCGCCTCCTCCTTCGCATCTCCCTCAAGCTTCTCGTCCTCCGCGTCCTCAAGCCTCCTCTTCTCCTGAACCTCTCCCATGTTGACCTCTTCATGCGTGCCATGGGGCTGCTGATCCTGAGCTGCCGCCGCTGGCCTTTCAGTGCCTGGTGCTGCTGTCTGCTCCTCAACCTCCATTTCCTCTTCCTCCTCCTCCTCCTGCCTCTGCCATGGGTCCTCAGGATTGTGACTGTTCCACTTCCAGCCTCTCCGCATGGCAGGTTTAGTCCACCTGGCCTGGCCCTGCTTGACGTACCTCTGTACTTCGACCTCCGTCCTGCTGTCACCAACCTGGATGACCCATGAGTCGGCGTCCACGTCTGGCGAGCCCTTCACCAGCCACCCGAGGCGCCCCGACGGGGGGGCGATGACTTCGGCCGACTTCCAGCCACCATCCCGCAGCCACTTCGTCAGGTCAGCCGCTGACCAATGCCTCGGGACTCGGAAGAGTCTCCAGGTCGCCTCTGTCGTCCTCGGCGCCGTCGTGCTCCGAACTCCCAGGTAACTCCTCCCTCCAGTCCTGTAGGCAAGGCCCCGAGACTCCGGCGCCGAGAGTTCCGAGAGGGCCCTCCGATAGTAAACCAGATCGGTCTCGTCGGCCTCTCTGTGGAGCCAGCGCACGTTGAGGTCCTGGCCCTGCTTCTCACGAGCCAGCTGCCCATAGAAGGTGCCACGCTGCCCGGTGTGTTTGTCCACGATGTCCTGCACCTTGTCCTGGCGCACTTTGAGGTACCCGACGATCACGTCACTGCCTCCTGTGGCGCTGTGTCCTTCCTCAAAAAACTGGTCAACGGATATGACGCAGTCTTTATCCAGCTCTGCCGTGACCCACGCCGCGGGCCTCAACCTCACCTTAGCCCACTGGGCCTCCGCGAGCAGGCGTTTGACGATGATGACGCGCAGAGTCGCCATGGGAAGTTCCTCAGGACCTGCTGGGCCCTTGCGGCGCAGGTCTGGCGCCTTCACGCCGCCGTTCACCTTGACGACCTTCAACTTCTTAGTGGCCGGGACGCCGTTGGTGTTGACGCCAACCTCCTGCCACTCACCAGCCTCACCTTCGCCCTCCACCGCATCCGTGATCACCATCGTGATCGGTTTCTGGATATTATGGCCCTCGGCGAGCAAGCGAATCTCCCGCGCCGCCTTAGCAGTGGTGACTACGACGTCTCCTGGCGGTTCGAGCCCATCCCTGAGTGCTTCCTGCATCTTCGACGTCGTGGAAAAGGAGAGCTTATTTCCCTGCT